TTTCGGCGGAGCGGCGGTGGGGGGCCCCTCACCCCCTGGGGGGAAAAGGGCCCCCCCGCCGAATTGCCGCCGCAGATTGCAATCGCGATCGCGGCTTTTTTTGTTTGTTTGTTTTTTGGCTGCTTGGGGCGGCCAAAACCCTGGAGCCAGCCCTGGTTAATGCAACCTAAAATTGAATTTTCTTATTTTGCAACACCATTGCACTGTTGACTCATGTTGAGGTTGTGATCCACCACAGCTCCCAGATCCTTCCCAGCTGTGCTGGTGCCAATCCAGTTATCCCCCATTTTGTATTTGTGCATTTGGTTTTTTGCCCCTAAGTGTAGCACCTTACATTTGTCTTTGCTGAATTTCATTTTGTTGTCTATAGTCCAGTTCTCCAATTTATTAAGATCCCTTTGAATTTTAGCTCTATCATCCAAAGTGTTTGCAGCTCCCCCCCAGCCTTGTGTCATCTGCAGATTTGAGAAGGATGCTCTCTATTCCTACATCCAGGTCATTAATAAAAATATTAAACAACATCAGACCCAGAACAGATCCCCGTGGAACTCACCTTGAGATCTCCTTCCAATCTAACATCATTCCATTAATAGTTACTCGTTGTTTGCGGTTGTTTAACCAATTTCATATCCACTTAATGGTAGTTCCACCAACCTCCCATTTCCCCAGCTGACTTATCAGAATGTCATGTGGGACTGTGTCAAAATGTTCTCTGCTTCTACCAATCCCTAGAGCTTAAACAGACCCCAAATTCTGCCTCATGAATCTGGCTTTATGTACAGGGCTTCTGTTTTGTGGGGGTTATTAATTTTATTGTTCAGGGTTTACTATTAGCAATTTTTGAGTTCTGTGTAGATGTCCAAAAATCGGGGCGGTTTCAGGGCTCTGAGAAGATTTTTTCAGGTACTTCCCAAATTTCTTGTCTAAAAACGATCTACTTAATTTTTTATAATATGTATAAAAATGACTTACATGTTATTTTAAAATTTGTATCCTTGTTATAGAACCCCCTGGTTTAGTGTTTAGTGTGTTTGTTCCTCTGTGCGCTTTAATGTAGCACTGTTTCAAACAACAGTAAAACCTAAAATTCAAAACCTAAAATCAGAAGCCCTATTTAAACAGTTCCAAAATAAGCATGGGGGTGTAACATCAACATTTCAAGCTCTTGTCTTAGTGTTTGAATTTAGATGTCCATATTCCCAAGGGCCCAGAATCCACTAGGGGGATTAAGCAGAGGATGAGATTAAGAAAGAGGAAAATTTAGCTGAAATGTCAAGATAAACTTCTGGAGTGAGTTATGCACTCCGCTGGGGAAGAGTCTCCCAACAGGACTGGTAGAAACCCTTTGACTGGGGAGATTTAAAATGATACTGGAAACTTTTAGAGAATGGTCCTGGCAGGGAGATAGGCTCCTTTTTTTCTCTCTCTCTCCTTCAGTAAACAAATCCTGTTGGTTCCAGATTGTATTTCAAATGCTAGTTTTGATCGATAAGGCCTTAATGGTGTAGGACTTTGCCCCTCTCCTCATGACATACTGATACAGGTGCGATCAGAGGAACTCAAGCTGGACACCCCTCTTTCTAAAGGAGAGGGGGCTGGCCGTTGATCTGTGAGAGGCCTGCAGCTCTCAGACAGGCTTCCCCTCTGCTGATCAGAAATGGCCCTGTGGTCTACTGTCCTTTAGGGAAGACTGCAAGCTGCTTCTGTTGGCAGGGGCTGGGGAGGAGGTGGACTTTGAGAGCGATTGGAGCTGTGGAGAGGCATTTGAGGTTATGCAAGTAGTTTAATTTTATTTGGCAGGGGACCGAGAGCCTTGGTTAGGCCCTTTCTTATGTTGTATCTACATAATTCCTCTGGGCCTGATTCAAGGCCCATTGAAGTCAGCGTAAATGGGGGCAGGATTTAACAGAACCCTCTTTGCATGTGTTCCTGCAAACAGGCGAGCTCTCCTTGGAGGAGTTCATGGAGGGAGTACAGAAGGACGAGGTGCTCCTTGAAATCCTCACCCGGAGCTTGGACCTGACGCACATTGTCCGGATGATCCAGAATGATGGGAAGAACCCGCAGGGCTCGGAGCAGACGGAAGGGGCGGCTGAATAGAAAATTTTCAAAACGCTTTTATTTTTTATTGTCTAACATTATTAAAAAATTGGGGTGGGGGGTGGGGAAATTGGCGAGCTGTGCTACTGCCACTGTGATAAGAGCATCCTATGTTAGAATATCACCCTAGCAGGGGAATCAGGAGCTCCTCTAAACATGTCAAACCAATTGTGTACGCAGTGAATTGTGAGGCCAACACAGACCAGCAGTGACAAGAGCCTCTGGGCGTTGGGTGAGCGCTGCCTAGGGAGCAGATGCAACCACTGCTGCCTCTGTAAAAGGGAGGGATCAGACTTTAAAGAGAGTGAGCTGCCGAGCTGACTCATTGCTCTAGAATCAAATGATGCCAGGGACTTCCCGAATGGTGCCACCTGGGCCTATTGCCAGCTGGGTGCCTCTGAATATTGCTGCTCCCATGTAGGGAGAGAAGTGAAGAATGTGTTCCAGGAAGGCGAGAGCAGGATCACATAATACTTTCAGAAGGCGCATTGCTGAGTGACCACTGTGGAAATTCATCTCCGTGCAAGGGGCCCCACAAGGTCGTCACGCCACTTAAGGCTTAGGGTCAAAACCTGACTCCATTAAAGCCAAGTACAAAACCCTCTGATTTCAAAAGGAGCAGCACCTGGCTCTCAATGGGAGCTTAAACTCTGGGGGAAGCCTGATGTAAACACTGGGGAGGTGAAGTAGGAGTGCACAGGCACTCTGCCCGGGACCAATTTCCCACTCTGAGAGCAGAGTGGTAACCACAGCTATGTGACCTATATGGAAATCGGTATGTGAAAAACACAGGTAACCTTCCAAGGACTTTGCAGAGTCCAGTTCATAATGAACAGTTTTTCTGTCAGTCAAATCAGCATAGACTCCAGGGTTACTGTGGGAGTTCAAAGCAAATAGGCAATAAGGGTGCAATTTGGACCCACATAAAAAGGCTCCAGGCACCCCTTAAATCCTTAACACGTGTAAATGGCAATGTGGGCATCTGTGGACCCCCTGCGCTGTGGTCAGTTGCACCCTAGCTGAACAGAACACTTAAATTGCAAACCCCTCTCTGGTTAGGCACGTGTATGTGTGTGTATAGGGGGAAAAGGAACTAGGTCATACTTAGAGACATTTTAAAATATAGTAGTGATGATTTTTCTCTCTGAGCAGAAAAATCAAACACACACACATGCTCACAGAGAAGTCTCCCAAGTAAAATACACGACAGGAAAAATAAATCAGATATTTTTGATAGAATCATTTTTCTCCTTATTATGTCTTTGAAAGGAATGAGACGGAGCTTGTGGTAAACCGGAGGGTAAACAAATTGTATGGAGTGAAATGGGATCAACGAATCACTTCACAACTCAAATTATAGGGTGAAATTCAGGGCACTTGGGCACAGCTCGAATCCATCGGGAGCCCACAGAATAGACTGTAAGTGGTGCATGGGCCTTGTGCTCACTTTTCAACCATAGTGAAATCTGCCCAGCGTGACAATGTTCTGTGGAGGAAGAATTGACTCTAAGAGTGTCCAGGCTAATCTCTTTTCTTTGACCCACTATAACTTCCTGAAAGCGGGAATTCCAGAACAGCTGGAGAAATGATCTGGATCTTCTCCTTCCATATGTATTTTGAGACAGCTGCCCTTTGGTAGTAGCTCTGATGCTTGCAAGTAAGCAGACGAAGTCAATGGTTATGTCACTCATCCTTTGGTTTGAGGCTATCTTTAAACTAAAGGCAATGGAAGGTTAAAAAAACCAACATGAGCTAGAAAAAAAGAGTGTTGACTTTTTTTCTTTCCTTTAAAATGTTAAAAACATAAATGTGCCTTTTTACTAATGTCTGAACTATTCAAACACGCATCTGCATGGCCCTGTTTCTCCATGAAGGAATTTGAAAGGGCAGCAATGGCAGTGACTTGAAAGGTAATGTCTTGTCATGTGTCTGCAGAAATATTCTTGCATGTCTCATCTGTACAGAAAGAACAATGTAGAGTGTCCACTCTTTGGTCTTTGGAATACTTTTCTAGTTAGCTATTGATCCCAATGAGCCAAATTTTTGGTTTCAGTTATTCTGGATTTACAGTACTAATTGGTCCAGCTAATGTAGGATTTGGATAGCTGTCAGAATCACTTTTATAGGCGGGGGAAAGAGTTTTCATACATTTCGACCTCATTAATGCTTCTTATAACAAGTTTGGAGGGGGAAAAATCCAGAGGAATATAACATCTCTAGAGAATATGCAGCTAAGCCCCAACAAGGGTATAGCATAAT